GTGTGTGTGTGTGTGTGTGTGTGTGTGTAGTGTGAGTGACGGAGCTTCAGTGGGGGTGGGCGGGGACAGGGAGGGGCCCTCACCCTGGTCCTATTTAAGCATCCAGCTAACAGGGCCCCGTGGGTTTCAGCAGCGAAGTGGCACTGGGTATCACAGACAGGGTAGTGACACGGGCACCTTGGCGTCCTGCCCAGGCTCCACGTGGCCGAGCACCTTGATCAGCGCCTGGTGGATCCAGCAAGCTACAGATCCGGTGTGAGTGTGGGGCCCCGACACAGGTGGAGGCCAGGGAGCACCCGGGCCTGTGTGAAGCTGGACTGAGGCCAGGCTCCCAGGCTCTCCTGGGGGCCACTCAGGTGGGCGTGCAGTCACCCCAGGGGACCAAGCGGTCAGCCTAGGACCCACGCTGTGGGGGTGAGCTCGAGCGTGTTCTGCTTTGCCCCAGCAGCCTCCCCTCCTGCCTTCAGCCCCTGGCCTCAGTTCCGGGCATCACCGGGGCCATGGCACCACTGCTCTGAGGGGTTGGTAGGCAGGCTGGGGAGGGCAGCCCCAGGCCAGGGGAGGGGAGGCCCCTTGCTCCTAGTGAGAAATGACTGAAATTCTAGCAGGAGGGAATGGAGTGCGATCTGAGGAGGAGCTCTGAGACCCCCCGGGATGGATGGAGCCTGAATTTGGGGCAAAGGAGAGGTCATAGCATGGGGGTAGCCCCCAGGAGCCCTGTCTTGCTAGGATCCAGGTGGTGCCCTGAGGGCGTGGGGCTTTGGAACTGTCCAGACCCTCACTGTGTGTTGCCCTGGTCTCAGGCCCGCGGCCCCCCACATCACATAAGGGAGGCATCAGTCCTTCAGAGGTGGCCCTGGGCTCCAGAGGGTGGGGGCTGCCAAGCCTCAGGCCGGAGATGGGCTCTGCCTTGGGGCCTCAGGAACCTCTTTGGAGGGCAGTGGAGGGTCCCTCTCAGCCCAGCCCTGGCCACAGTGGTGATGGGGCTGTGAGGGGCCTCAGAACAAACCCCAGTCTCCTTTAGGTGTGTCCCTCAAGCACCGAGTCTCAGTCCAGGGGAGGCTGAAGGAGTGTTGGGGTCACACCTGTCTTGGGAGGGGCCTGGCTCCCTTCACCTGGCCCACAGTCCACCTGGGAACCCTCTGTGAGGTGCTGCTGTGCTCACCCCACTCCTGGCTGAGCCTGGGGTTCCCCACAGCCACTTGGCCCCAAACATCCTGGGAGCAGAGCCCACACCTACTGAAGGAGGCACCCGACAGCCCCAGTCTGTGCTATCAGCTATGCTCTGCCTGCAGGTCCCGGAGGAGGCCCTAAGGGCAGCCCCTTGGCCAGGGCCCCTCTGGGCCCCTCATACCAGCTGTCCCTTCCCCCCCTCCCCGCATGAGAACAGAGCCCTGAGGAGGTTCTTGAACTGCCCCCGGCCTTGGCTCTGGACCTGCCCTGAGGGGGTGGGGACCAGGAGGACCTGGTAGGGTCTCTCTTTCAAGCTGCCACAGCAGGAGCCCAGCTCTGAACTCCCCTTGGCTGTGCTCCGGGAGGCCAAGCTGGGCCTGCTCCTTGCTACTGTGTGGCCTTGAGGGGCCCTGCAAGCTCCCCTTGCCTCAGTCTCCTCTGTGAAGCGGGCTGGTGATGGGAGCCGCACATTTCAGGCACCCAGTGGGTGGTGTCTGCTGCTGTGGTGTCTCCATGCTCCCAGTTCTAAGCAGGCCCTGAGGAGGCCACCAGCCAGCTGAGATGGACGGGTGGAGCTGCGCAGGGTATGGGTATCCTGGCTTCTGGGGGAGGTGATAGGGTGCTGATTTGCAGCCAGAGTGCCATCTGTCAGCCCTTGGGGCCCTGGGCGAGGCCTGGCGAGGCTGGGGAGGGGGTGGGCCTGCTCTGGCTCTGCCCTTTGGGGAGGCCGGATGGACCCCACCCTCCAGCCACCCCTTCTGTGGATGTGTAAACTGAGGCCCAGAGTGGGGGTGGGCTTGCCCAAGGTCACTCTGCTGGTTGGGACTCAGTGACCTGGTCTTTTGCTTTTCATTCCACCCCTGTCCCTCCCTCCAGAACTGTGGCCCCTTCAAGGGCCACCCTTCCCTCTTATCCTAACCCCAGCAGAGGGACTTGCCCAGGCCCGGCTGGGTCAGCCCTCCTCAACACCCACGCTGTATTGATGGTGTCTCCTGGAGTCCGTGTGGTCCAGATACAAACCCACTGCCTTCAGCCTGACATCCAGGCTGCACCCCCAGCCACCTAGAGCCGCCCTGGGCCTGCACACTCCCACCTTGGCCTGTTAGCACTTGCTCTCTAGGGCCTCAGCCCGCACACACTGCTGTTCTCTGGGTCTGTCCACTGGTCCAGGAACTTATAAACTCGTGCTTAGGGTGGGACTAGGGTGGAACACAGGAGCCCTCACCTCCCCCAATTCAGTCTCCTTGCCTTTGGTGATAGGACCTGATGTTGCTGGCACCTCTGGGCCCTGCACAGACCATGACTATGGTCAGCAAGGCTCCCTGCCTGCTGAAGGCCTAGTCATTCGTCCCCTCCCTCACTCACTCATTTGCTCAGCAGACACTGGTGAGTGCTGTGCGAGGTGCAGGGCTCCAGAGGTGCACAGGTGGAGCTCATTGCAGGGGCTGACACAGGATAAAAGCCCCAGGGGGTGGGGCACAGGGAGGCTGCCCGGAGGGGGAGGAAGGCTTGGGATGTGTGAGCGGGGTGGGGGTGAGTGGCCCAGGGGAGGGGCAGTGCCATGTCTGGGGAGGATGACAAAGAGCTGGACAGCAAGTACTGGGAGGAGAAGGAAGGGTCAGGCTGGGGAGCAGGTTTGGGGCTGGGGGACCAGCAGGTGGCAGATGAGAGTCCTCACCTTGGCCCAGGCTGAGCAGCCCCCTCAGTCGTGTTCACGGGTCTGTGAGGGGCTGATGACTGGAGCAGGGCCACCTTTGTTGCTAGTGCTTAATGCCCCTGCCCCTTCTCCCCAGAGCATCCCTCGGGCCCCGTCCTCCGACGAGGAGTGCTTCTTTGACCTGCTGAGCAAGTTCCAGAGCAGCCGCATGGACGACCAGCGTTGTCCCCTGGAAGAGGGCCAGCCGGGGGCTGCTGAGGCCACAGCTGCCTCCACCCTGGAGGAGAGGATTGGTGAGCACCGGCTGGGCTCCCCTGACCTTGAGAGGTGCACAACCAGTCTTTCCTCTCCCTCCACTGCCCCCATTGAGCTCCTTAGGGGCGGTGCAGACCAGCTGCAAAGTGCCCCTTGTCACTGTGAGCTCTCCACCCCTGCCTTTCCCAAAGTTGCATCCTGGGGAACGTGTCATCATCCCGCCCTCCCTCGGGAACACAGGGTGTCAGGAGCATCAGTGTCTGGGGTGGATGTGGGAGGGGAAGCTCTCCTCCCATAACCCCATCACCTCCCAGAAGTCCCCGGAGGCGGGTGTGGGGCTCCAGGCAGGGGTACCTGGGACCCCATGTGCCCCCAGGAGTGCGATGGGCTGGGCTGGACTCACAGCTGTCAGAGTTCCCACCTGGCCCACCTCAGGTCTGACCCTCACAGGGTCCCTGTGTCAGCCCAGCTGCCCCCACCCAAGGGAAACTCCCCTGGGCTCATCCCCTGTCCCCCGCAGCACAGCCCTCGCTGACAGCATCCCCGCAGACGGAGGAGTTCTTTGACCTCATCGCCAGCTCCCAGAGCCGCCGGCTGGATGACCAGCGGGCCAGCGTGGGCAGCCTTCCGGGGCTGCGCATCACCCACAACAACCTGGGGCACCTGCGCGGCGACGGGGACCCCCAGGAGCCAGGGGACGAGTTCTTCAACATGCTCATCAAGTGCCAGGTAGGCCTGCAGCCAGGAAGGTGGGTGCTCATCCCCGCAGGCCGCTCTGGCCCCTCTGCCATCTGCGGGGGAGGCTCCTGGCCCGCTGCAGGGGGCTCTGGCCCCTCCCCCCATCTCAGGCTGGGTCTGGGGGATGCCCTGGGGGGAGAGGAATGACAGGCTGGCTCAGCAAGTGTCACCGAGTGCCCACAGGTGGTCAGACCCCCTGAGAAGGCCACCCCAGGATGTCCTCAGTTCGGGTGTTCGTACAGATACGGGGCATCCCCAGGTCCCCAAGGCAGTGGCCTCAGGAATCCCTCCAGCCTTCCACTCTGGACAGAGAAAACCAAGGGCCAGACAGCACCCCTGGAGTGGGGAGGGCAGGAGAGGTCTCACTGCCACGGGGGATCTGGGCCAATCTAGGTGGGTTTCAGGGTCAGGAGAGCCTCCCAGAGTTGGCTGGGGAGGGGCTGCTGCATGGCTGCTGTGTAGAAGCTGGACAGTTTGCAGACCTGACGTTCATTCCCACAGAGGACAGGAAAGCGCAGCCCTCGGCGAGCCCGGGGAGCCTCAAAACCAGCCCCTCCCGAGCACCCCCAAGCACCCCGTCCACATGCACGCAGGTTCCTGGCCCTTCTGCTCCAGACCCTGCAGAGAAGCCCACACGCTCCTCGTCCCTCTCGGCCTACCAGCGTCAGCCCAACCCGACAGGTCCCTGAGGAGCTCCACGCCTTGGGCTCTGGGAGCTGCAGCCCCCTGCCCTGTCCCAGGGGCTTGTGACCACGCCACTGTCAGGGTGGTCTCCATGGCTGCCCCACCAGCTCTGTCTCTGACAGCTCTCCCCACACCCAGTGGCTGTTGTTCAACCCAATCTCTTTGGGGGTCAAGGCTCCCACCGCTGCCCCTGGTGCTGATTCCCAGGCAGATCCAGGGAAGCCCAAGGCGACCCCTTGAACTGGCACTCACTGGATGACAGCCCCTGCCTTGGGGTTGTCCAGAGGGCCACTGCACTGGTCCAGGCGTTGGGCTGGCCCTCCAAGGCTTAGGAGGGCAAGGCCACCGACCCGTGTGTCTGTCTGCCTAGTCCTCCAGGATCGATGACCAGCGCTGCCCACCGCCCGACGGGCTGCCCCGCGGCCCCACCATGCCCGACGAGGACTTCTTCAGCCTCATCCAGAGGGTGCAGGCCAAGCGGATGGACGAGCAGCGGGTGGACCTCGCCGGGAGCCCAGAGCAGGAGGCGGGCGGGCCAGCTGAGCCTCGGCAACAGTGCCAGCCTGGCACCAGCTAAGGTCTCTAACCCACAGCCAGGCCCGCCCCAACGCCGCTCCTGGATGCCTGGGGAGTGGCTCACAATTGTCCAGGATGCCCAAGGTCCCTGAGAAGCTGAATCTTTCCAAGGCCATGGCTGAGGGCAGGCTCTGAGCCCCCCGCCCTTCCCACTGAGCCGGACATGGGCACACTGCTCCCGCAGAGTTTCCCTCCCCAGGGAGGCGGGCTGGGGCCAGGGCTGCTATGCGTGTAGAGGGCACTCTCTGTACTGGGCCTGCCCACATGGTACACAGCTCCCTGCAGGCCTGCCCAGGCCAGCCCTGCCCTCACCTCTGCCCCTGGCCCAGGTGGGCCTTCAGCATGTCGGCCCCAGACCCCGGTGCTGCCCAGACCTTCTGTGCCCTCTCCCTGCCCCCCACCACTCCATTTTGCCCAGCCAAATGTGAAAACCCTGCTGCCTCCCCCATACCCCCTACGGTTCTCTGCAGCGTCGTCTCTGGGGGCCTCCCAGAGCTGGTCCCAGGAAGATCAGACACAGACATGTTCGCCCCAGTCCCAGCCTCTCACCCCAGGAGGGCCCCCTCCCGGCCCCTCTCCCTTCCCTCGTACCCAGGCTGGAGAAGGGGAAACCAGAAGGCCTCACAGGAAGCCCGCAGTGGAGGCAGGCTCACGTGCTCCCACAGAGTTCCTGGGCCTGGCGCTTGAGCTCCCAGCCCCATGACGTCCTGAGCAGACAGGGGCCCAGAGGGGAAGGAGGGGGTAAGCAGTGACATTCCTTGGCTCCAAGCTCTGAATCCCAGCAACGGATGGAGCCTGGTTCTAGGAGGATCGGCCGACAGCCAGGTCTGCACACTGACTATGCCAGCACGGGAGCCATGGGGGTGGTGGGTCAGCAAAGCTGAGAGGGGCTTAACTCATCCCCGGGCCCCCCAGTGAGCACCCAGCCCTTCCCCCCACCATCTAGGGATATGTCCCTGCCTTCTCCCATATGTGTGGAGGGGGTCCAGTCCCAGAACACCCAAGTTGGCCCATGGGACTGGGCAGGAGACAGGCCTCCTGGGAACTGTGGCCATCAGTTCTCACCCACATCCATTCCTCAGCCAACCTGCAGCACCCCCTCAGCCTTGGGTTGAGCCTCATTATGGTCCCCAGGGCCCAGGACAGCACCTCCTCATGTGAGGGTGCAACAGCCCCACCCCAGGCGTCTGCTCTCTGAGCACACAGCCTGGGAGCTCTGGGCGGAGGGTGCTGGAGGGCGACCTGAGCAGGGTGTGATGAAAGGCATGGGGACCCCTGAGGGCTGGCAGGTGTGGGGTCAGGCACCAGAGCACGGGCTTCTGCTCAGCTACCCGGTACTTGAATGTACATGTGTATTTATTGCCCTCATGTGTTTGCCATATTGTCCATGGGTCCTTTCCAACCGAAGAGGTACGTTTTTCTGTTTTATTTTAAAAATAAAGTCTGCCAAGTGAATGCTGTCCATTTTAAGACGGGGGTGAGCTAGAATGTGGGTGCAGAGGGCCTGGGGCTCGCAGTGCCCATCCACCCAAGGTGCCCTGCTGCACTCCCAACCCCACACATCGGCCTGGTCCCTGGGAGGGGCTGTCACTGTCCTAACTACTCACACACTCCAGGATGTGCTTACCTTTCCGGCTGGGAGTCCTCACCCAGGACCAGAAGGCCACCTAGAGCAAGGGGGGACGGGTGCAGTGGACCTGTGACATCACATCCCCAGACGCTGCTTATGACTCTGAAGGAACAGCCTGTGAAGATGCAGCTGAGAAAGCAGCTTGGGGATGACACCCCACAAATATGGACACCCCAAAATAACAGCCATCATAAGGCACTGTCCCTAGTAGGGTCTGGGCACTGGGTGGAGGCAGGGAGACCCTGCTCACCTCACTCCCCATGATCCACTGTGCAAGGAGCCCTGCTGCTCCCTTCATGCCCCACACTGAGCGCAGGGGACTGGGGAGCCCCAGAGGGGTGAGGGTGGCACTGGGGAGGGAAAGTAGGCAGGAGTAGAAGATACGGCAGGAACACACAGGGTGGCCATCGCTCCTCCTGAAGTGGAGAAGGAGGCCCCAGGGACTTTGACTACAGTCC